TATCACCGCAGCTCCTATGCATTGGGCTGGAGCTTATGTCTTTTGACATGCTGCCTCAGGCATGTTCTCTTCCCATTCATCTCACCCACATTCTTTTCCCATGTAAAAACTCTGCCTCCTCTGTTTCGCCCATGCACACCCCCTCCTCTTCTCTGCCAACAGCACCCCCCACCCCACCAAAAAAAGGGTTTTTCTCCATTTACCCTGAATATTATGAAGACCAGAGCAGTGCATGTAACAGAAAAGGACTTTATTTACTGTGCTGCATGCTGCTTAACTCTGGCTAACTAGCCACAGCAGGCCTACATTCCAACCCTCTGCAGTCAGGCAGTCAGAGCCCTGCAAAATCTGTCCCCTACTGCAAGTTGTAGCTAAAGTGACCTACCTTTTATGTGGCCATTGAATGGTTTTATGGACTAGATGCTGGGGTTTATGTAAGAAGACAATTACCTATCGATGGAACAACAATTTTATGAAAAGAAACAACAAATTTTTTAATAATAAAAAAAAAAAAAAAAAAAAAAAAGGAGAAGGAGACTACTTGTTGTCTCTCACTGTGGAAACCTTTCATCACTGGCCAGCAAACTGGACCAGTGAACATTTTTTAACCCAACTCTGAACAAGAAAAAATGTAACACCTTTTTGGTTTCCTTACCACTATTCCTGTGCCTGCCACATCATGTTGTGAACCAAGTCAAAACATAGTTATCCTGGATAGTTTGTGGGTGATCTAATACTGTAGGCTACTGTGTCTAATCATTTTAGGAAATTAAAACTCAAAATATTTCTCCAGCAGCACTAGAAGCTGTGGAAATGTCAGAACAGTGACTGCCCATCTGCTGTATGACTCACTTTTCACACATGAACAGTCGATGTCAGATGCCTTCTCATCTACAGGAAATACTGTAGGTCTGGGATGTGTTTTTTAAAACACAATCAAGTTTTTTGCCATTCCTTAAATTTATCTGATGATTCTGGCACTGACTCTTAATGACAGAAGTTCATGAATCTCATCGTCTCCAGTTAGATTTTTTCACTCGTGTCTTCATTGTAAGTGACCGTTTTTCTTCACCATTGGATGATTGTTTTCTTCCAGTTTCGCACCCATCACATGATAGAATGTCATCAACACTCCCACTACCTTCATGTGAATACTCTGAACTATACGCTGCTGTATTCTGACATGGGCTCACTCCAGCTCACTTGGACGTTACTCAAATTTTTATACTAGGGAGCTGGCAGGGCAAAATCCTCTTAAGGTGTGTGTGACTGACTCGGACATTTGTGTTCTCACATACAGCTCTTCTGGGTAATGTCTGGATAATTTCAGAGTTCCGGTGCGTGTCTGAAAGGGGCTTTTGTGACTCGTACCCTATATCTATGTCATCAGATTTATTGTAAAAGGTCCTACGAGGATCAGCTGCATCATGGGAAACACTGGATGAATATAGGTCCTGGGGGTAAAACAAGTCCATGATACAGAATAATAATACTGGCAATGTTTATAGTAGGGAAACTCGCACTATATAAACACATACTGTATTTCTTTGTCAGTCTCCGTGGAGACATTTTTGGCTTTCGACTGACTTTCCCCATCTTTAGACAGCCTTTGTTGCCCAGCAGACAGGAGAAAAGAATGGCATCTGTCCAGATGTCAGTTGTTTGTTTGAGTTACAAAAATGTTAACATTTAGTTTGCAGCGTTGCTTAATGTTTTACTTTCGCCTGACTGGAAGCCAGAAAAAGATAAAATATTTTGTTCTTTTCTAAGCTAACAAAGCCTAGTGATAAGGGTTGTCTCACAGCCTCTTTGGTCGATATATCAGATGACCTTTCATCCTGTATAAAAATAGATTTCATTCTGATTTTAAATGTTATACGAGAAAACAAATCACAGCTAAATATGTGGTCTGAGTGCTACAATGGATGATGCCTTCTGCACATTTAAACATTGATCACTATAATAAAGCTTTTTCAGTAATTGAGAAGTTACAGGCTTGATCATTGATATCATCTGTAGCTATAATGATTCACTGATTATAAAAATGGTCCCAGCTTCTCAAATGTGTATATTTTCACAAATATATTTCAACTGTTTATAGGACTTTGAGTATTAGCTGAAAGCAAAAGGCCATCACTGTAACTTGCAAAGAAATGTCAGCTATGCACTGACAGCCTGGATCTGACATTTATCTGTAGTGGGTTTAGTAAATGTTTGTTGTTATTTCTTTTTTCTTGTAACCTTGGTAACAAGGTCTAGGGGAATTGTGGTCCCTAGTCATTTGATATTGTTTTCACAGTGTTCCGCTTGATAGAACTGCACGGATGTGTGTGCACATACACACCGCAGTTTGACATGGTGCTGGGTGATGGGGAGGTGAGGTGGGGGTTACAGGATATTGGGGGCTGAAAAGCCATAATGTCTGGTACACTGGTTAATATCCTACACACACCCTAATCAAGGGAGATGGAGAGAGAGAAACACCAGACCTCGAGGAGCAGATCCTTGTATTCACTGGGGGCAGGTTTACCTTCTCTGCTCTGTTGTGCTGTGCTTCAGCTCTCTTTCAAAATCTCTGCATCTCTGTTGAGAGGGGATGCTGGGTGTTTTAGCTAGTTTTCACAGACTTAGTATTTGTACTTGCTAGCCAACTGATGTTTACTGCCAAACACAGCTGCTTGGTAAGTTGGAGACTGTGGTGACAACAGAAAGCAGCGGGATTTACATTTACATCGCTGCACAGCTTTATAGCCTGCCGAGAGTCTGAAATATAGTGTGTACATTGTGACAGTGAACATTAAAACTTTATTGTTACTACAGCTACTGATGATAATTTGCTTTTGTTATTTTGAGGTGTATTGTACATGCTAATGTGGATACCTAGTTAAGTCTTAATGCAGTAGTTCAACATTTTCGGAAGTGAGCTTATTTGCGTTCTTGCTGAGAGTTTGATGAGAAGATTTATTAATACCACTCTCAGGTCTGTCTGATAAATATATGACTAAAGCCAGCAAAGCGTATGTAATACATGAGAGCCATAAGCTGGGGCTATAGCTGCTGGCTGCATTCTTACATTTATGTATAGATTCCAACCCAACACAGGAACAATTGAATCATTATACCAGTTGTATGAGCCAGTAATTGTAAATTATGATCACACTCAATGACAAGAAATCACTTCATACTGCAAGAAGATGGCTTCTTGTAGAAGGATTTCTTGTCATTGAGTGTGACTGTTATTTACAGTTATTGTATTTTTACATTTCCCAGACATATGACAGTGTTATGTCGTCTCTTTTAAAGCTCGGCATAAAATGAGTGAGTAATTTTCCCAAAATGTTGAACTAGTCATTTATAGGGTCCCATTTTTATTTTAAGCCAAAGTTAGATGCCAAAGTTGATTTCAAATCTGGACTTCATGTTGCCTACAGTTTAGCAGTTCAACCACTTCCCAAGAACACATAGTTCACAGATGAGACACATTTTCTCTCTTCCACCTCTGTAGACATACCAGGACTATCAGCCTACATTTGCTGCTTGACAGGTGAGAACAGGTGGGAGAGCCGTGGGTGTTGTTCAATCGAGATAAAAAGCCTGGGCTCCTCTCTGTCCGCCCTCAGTTCCGATTTCTGCTCCTGCGTTGGTGTGAGTCTGCTCTCAGTTCCAAGGGCAAAATAAACGGGAAACAGTAGCAGGTTGTCAAGGCAACATGGGAGCCTTACGAAGTGTGTGGTTTGTTGTCTGTACACATGCTCAGGCGTGTGGTGAATACGTTGTAGTTGTGTTTGCAGCGTGAGTGATTGTTTGTAGGCTGAATCTGGGGAACCTTTCACGACTTCAGCTGGTGAGTGGGAATCTAAAGTTGCCACGAGTTTTATTTATACGTCATATCTTTAGTTTTCCTTTAACACAGAGTTCAGGAAAATGGAAATGGTGTATTAGATGCAGTGTGTCCAACATTAGACCAAAAAAAACCCTCAAATAGAATTCATAGTGAAATTATATTGATGGTGTGAAATTTCTGTGGTTGTGTGAATGTTTTTGTAGAATAGTATTTTCTATTCAAAAGGACAACACATTTATCATTATGTTACGCCTCCTCTCAACCTCTAAAGAACATGGCTTTGATAACCCCTCATCTCTCTTTCTCGCTGTCTCTCCTTCTCATGTATCATTCATGTGTCATTGTCCCCAAGAGCCCTGAGATACTTTTAATGGCTGGGTGTGCCTGTGCTTCACATGCAAATGTGGGAAAAGTAACAACTAGGCAAAATCGAGAGGAATTCAACACAAATGCCTAATTAGCTGGGGATTCAAATGGAGCCAATAACACCACAGCCAATATAGCAAACAATTATGAGAAGGGGAGCTGAGAGAGGGAGTGATGAAGTATCAGGTTTTAAAGATGTATTAATGTGCACTTTCTGCTACAGGGAAGGCATTCATGGCTGTCTTAAGGGGTTTTGTGTGTGTGTGTGTGTGAGAAAGGCAGCATTTGCAATGTCAGCTCTTTTCTTATGCGTGCCTAGCCGTATGTGTTAATTAACTGCGATATGCAGCAAGCATAACGAAGAGGGAAATTGATTTTGGACAGCTCTAATGCAGACACCTTGCTTAGCCATGCAAAAGATCAGTCTGACACTGTCAAGTTCAGCTTCCACTGTTGGATTTGATGACCAAAGGGTTATAATTTGATTTTGGATCGTAGTCTGGGATGAATTAAAGAATACTTTGCCAGATGTTAACTATGAAGGATTGATAAGCAGATATAGAATGGCAAATACAGTAGCAATTTGTATTTTTCACCTCCCATTTTTTGCTTTTCCTTACTGTATTAAAGAAATGCTACACCTGAATGTTTTCGCAGCCTCACCAGAGTCAACAACAGACAAAACAATATGAGTAGTAAAATTAAACAAATGTTGTACATAAGCAGACACCCATAATCCTTGTAAACAGATCCCAATGCTAATAAACTCTCTGCTTGTGTTTTTGTTCAGAGTGATTTTAATTAAGACACACACCCCTCCAAAGGGCTGAACCAACTCCTTACTCAAGGAGTAACAAAGCAAGGAAGTGAGGAAGGAACCATCAACACTGACACGAAAGGGTGGGTGATGAGAGTCAGCCATGTTTTGGTTTGTGCAGTTTTTCAATAGCTGTGGGATTTAGAATTTAACTTTTTTTAATTGGCCGTGGAGCTGTCTAAAAGTATTTTTTGCTCTTTGGATGTGAAGTATGGTGACAGGGATACATAGCAGGTACTAAGAGACAGATCTGCCTTTGAACCTTAAACATACTGTTCCACCATATCTTCGTGTGTTCTCACATTTCGGCCACTGCTTGGGTGAATACAGTGTTATCATAAATGGCTCAAACTATCAAAGTTGTATTAAGCTTGAAATATCCTTTCAAACCACATCTTTATGAAAAAAATGTGACTTGAATTATTGTGCTGTGTAGCTTTTTTCTTTTGCCAGTTTTGTCACTCCACACCGCACAGTAGTAGGAACGTATCATCAAACTGTCATACAAAAAAAATGACCATGGATTTCTTTAATGCTGAACAGCTGAACAAGCAGTTTCCACCATCATTGTTTTCATGCAGGACACCCTTAAACCACTCCTTCTGCAAAACCATAAGAATTATTTGTGTACACATAAAATGTTTGTCTGGTTTTTCCATACATATTTGTATGGCACATTTCCTTCTGTTGCACAGTAAACAAACCAACATTGATGACACCCTCATAGTATAATATTGTGAACACATGGTTGGACACAGAAGGGTTCATTATTGTTGTACAGTATTAAGAAAACCCACAGACTTGAATAACCTCAGGTAGATAATCCGTCACATTGAATATACAGTAAACTTTCATTTGGCTATGCTAGTTTTATTTAGTTTTATTATTCTTAACTGTGGTAGATTAAAGTATTTTCATGTGCATCGTGTTACATTCTGCATACTGTCAATCACCTGACACACAAAACATTCTAAAGCATGTTGTCTTTCGTACTTTGTCTTGTGTGTGCCTTTCAGTTGTGTCTTAAATGAAAGCAGCGGGCGTGTTAAGGTTTTATATTCATATGAAAATGTGCAGTAGCTACAGTATGTGGCACAAGCATGGGCATGAAAAGTACGTTTATATGACAGAACGAGAACATGTAGATAAGGATGCAAGAACACTGAACCTTGTTTAGGTAAACAATCTAAAAATAATTAACTTAATTAGCTCTAACATTTTGCAGCTCCTGACTGCACCTGCGAAAACAACACATCTATTTATATCCCCAGGCATTATGATTAGAATGAAGTGTTTTAATTCATAACTACAGTTGGGACTCATTTATATTGCAGTGATGTATGTCGAAGTGAACTCTATTTAACCCCGTGATGATTTCATTTATTTAAAAGGCAGTTTGGCCTTACAGGACAAACCTGTTCCTTTTCAGAGGACCTCTGTGGAGCATTTGGCATGTGTGTTAGTGTATGTGAACCCCACTGAGCTCATTAAATTGTTAATATTGCTCTCTTCCTCTTTGCAAAACCTCAGACCTCACAAAATATTGCATGCTCATTGGTTGAAACACACAGTCCTGCATACAAACACGCACACACACAAAGCCTCCCAAAGCTTTTCTATCTAAATGCATGGCTGGCTGCTTGTTTAAACACACACACACACTCACACACACACTCACATACAGATGCACACACACGTCTGCAGCACAGCACTCTTATTTAAACTGATGTGAGTGCTGTCACGACATCCGACTAGTCCTATTTGTTCAACAGAAGCCTTGGCGTGAGAGAGCGTGGTCACCCCCACTGGCTCTCATGCAAATCCATTCAGCACACACATGCACATTCACTCACACGCACACATTTAATAGTCCTGCAGATAAGCAAAAAGACAGAGAGACAGACAGGCAGAGAGCCATGTAGAGATTCAAGCAGGGAGAGACGGGTGGACAGGAAAATCATTAGGCAGGCAGAAGGACAGACTGAAGGACAAAAGACAGACCGATGAACAAATAAACCTGAACACAGAGACAGACATAATGAAGTTGTTGGTTAGATAGATGGAAACATTTATGTCTAAAATAAACAATGGCCAGTGTTGTGCGACATGCTAAAAGAAGACCAATATGAACAAAGCAGCCATGTTAACAGCCAAAACAACAGCCTGTGCTTGTTTTGGTCTGTTCTGTGCCAGCCTGTGTTTTGCAGTTATACCCATTAGATTCAGCTGACACCTGAAGAGAAGTTTCATCATTACTCAAGTATTATATTTGGTGGGTTTTTCCTCTATAATAATAATAATAATAATAGTGTCTAGACCATAAAGTGCCCTGAGATGATTTTTGTTGTGATTTGGCGCTATACAAATAAAACTGAAATGAACTGAAGTGAATTGGACTTTGACTTCACAATATTTTAAAGAAAGTTTTTGTCCATTTTATTGGCTACACTTGATAATTTTAGTTGCAGAATAATAATAATCAAACAAAATACAGTATAATTATACAACTTTATTGATTCTGGGTGGGAAATTCATAAGCTACCCAGCAGTATGTAAAGTACTTCACATTATAAGCACTTAAGGTGGTTAAAATTATCCCCACCTTTACCAGCTGCAGCACACAATAACACATCAATAATTATAATCCAATGATCTGATAAACATTGTGAAATGTGTCATTCTGCATAAGGAATACTTTTACTTTTTGTACTTTAAGTATATTTTAGATGGTGATACTTTTGTAGTTTCAAGTAACATTTTGAATGCATTTAAATTACTTGTAACCGAGTACTTTTATATAGCTACTTATACTTAAGTAAACAATCTGGGTACTTCTTCCACCATTGGTACTGTACAGTAGAGCATTGCATGCACCATTTAATGTTACCCAAAGAAGTAGCAAGAAAAGCTGCTCACATTCGAGGATCATGGTGAAAGCAGTGGTGGGATGAGTTTAGTGCATACATCCTAGGCTCCATGCATGCGCATGCCCCTTCCCCTCCTTCAACTTCCCCACCCCCTTCTCTCATGCACATGCAAGCAAGTACACACTCAGTATGCTTCGTTATACACTTGCCCAGACAGCATAGCGTGCCAGAAACAGACTCAGTAGATGTCAAGCTCCCCATCTCTGCAGACTCAATTCCCTGAAAACAGTGGATCCACCTTTCCAAATTAGGTTGATTTGCTTTTGTCACAGTGACCACCCAAAATTCAATCTGGTGGCTCCATGAGTAATTATGACATCATGAAATCATTAGCTTTTTTGTTTCCAGCATCAATTATTAACCTGCCTTGGTTCAGTTATCACACTGGAGTGAAATACATGACATATTGATTTACAATTGTTATCCAGATATACTGTTGTGTATATGATCCTGCCTAATATGCAGTATAGTATCAACTCCTACTTTTTATTCCATTGCCACAATATCTGAGGATAAGACTGATTTCAAAGAGGGTAAGAGGGAGTGAGACATAACGAGTAAGGGGGTGATACAGAGAGAGAGAGCTGTCTTCCCTATTTGGCTCAGTAGGGTGCAGTTTGATTATTGTCTCTGCCTGAGTACAGGTTTTTTTTTTCCACTTGTCACGATCACCAAGTTTTTTTTTTTCAGCTGTGGATGTAGATAAACAAGCACAAAGGATAAGCTAGACTTGAGGGGGCGAGTACAATTTGCAGCAGAGCGAGTGAGTCTGCATGATTCATTGACTGGTCCATAAATAGCACAATATGCAACCCAGATGAAATCATACCCAAGAGCTCTTTCTCCCTCGTACTCTCTGTTAGGTAAGTGATATTCAGGCAAAGGGTTGATTTGGCCACAGAAAAATGAGAACAATTTTATAATTTACAAAGCAAAAATTTTTGTCTCAAGATATTATAACAGTCTTTACTACAAAATGATTGGTTCTGTAATGGCCAGACATTTTTTCATGTTACTTCTGGGGCAATGAATTAAACACACACAACCCACACAGAGCATATAGTGTGACCTGTAGTGTGATCCTACATTACAAGCAGGTAAAACTCAAAGCAATTTCAAGGCTTTGTCTGTCTGCCTAATTATAGTTTAATTATTCTGTGCTTATTTTAAAGGTAAACCCACTAAACTAATTCTATTTGTATTCTTGGCAGTTTTGTGAGTGTTTTTTTTCCTGGGAGGGTATGCTGGGAAGCCTCTGACATCTTGAATCCTTACTAGCTGTTTGCCTTACAGTACTTTATGAATGTATAAAGATACACAAGAGGATGAGTCTCACTTTCATCTTCCTGTATCGTAATAACACACCCTACCTCATTCATAGCCACAGGGATGTTACTGGCCTGGCATTAGCTGTGATAGCATAAAATTGCGGTGACATGCATTACCAAGTGAAGTTTTCATCCCCTAACACCTAGGGTGTTTAACTTGATGAGATATAAAGAAGCTCCAGGGTTAAGATGACTGTGTGAATATTTTACCAAATGACTTTTTTTCTTCTAATTAGGACATGTTCATTTTGTTTGTATTAGTTTATTTGAATTTCTTATAACTAAATAATTAATGAAAATACAATTATATGTTATTGCTAGAACTGTGTTGGTTAGTGCATAAACATAATCACTGGTGGCAGAAGTGCAAAAATAGCAACACCAAACTGTAAAGCGCTGCAGTACTAGAAAAAGGTCATGAAATCAAAAGTGCTGATTATGCAGGAGAAATGCCCCTGTCAGGGTTATATTAATAAATATTGAATTATTGTGTTATCATTAAACTGAATTATTTATTGTAGCAGCTCAAGGTAGGATCATTTTCAACTAATGTTATATACTGTTGTGTACAGTTGTGTAGTGAATTATTAGTACAATAAAAATAGTAACTAGCCTCCCTGGTAGGCTAGTGGTGAAGGCGCAGCGCTCTGGCCCGGGTTCGAATCACACACTCAGGCATCTTGCACCTCCAACCTGCACGCAGGCAGATGAAAGATGAAAGACTCACGAACCCAACAGGCCTGTACATTATATCTCTTCGGTTGGGCTAGTCCCATAATACACAGAAACGTCAACCGCGACGTCTCTGGTGCCAGCTTTGCAGCTGGTCATAGCAGTAGTCAAAACATGAAGCAAATCAATGTGTGTGTTCGTGTCTGTTGATTAAGTGGTGTGTAGCTAAAAACATTCTCACACGACCTCTAGTAACATGTCGTGATATTAAACATAAGAAAATATTATGGCTAAGGCTACAGTTCTACACGTCATAATAATAATATTAAACATCCTGTCTGCTGACAGTCATCAACTTTTCTCTCTAGTTATCCTTGACTAGATGCACCCTGTAGAAACTCATAAGCATGACTAAGCATTTAACAGTCTAACTAGCCATCCTATCTCCACTAAACATTTCTAATACATAAAGTATCTATCCAATATCTATCTGACTAAAAATACCTAACACACGTGCCAAATGTCAACATGCGAGTCGTCAGTGTGACGATTCGCTGTGGCGACCTCTAAACGAGAAAAGCCGAAAGTGACTTTCTAATAAAAAATAGTAACTATATGTATGTTTTCTTCTGAAAGTCAGTGTAGTAGAGGTAGGTAGCATGAAATGACAATATTCACCTAAATTACTAAATTCTACTTCCGAACAATACTTGAGAAGACGTACTCGGTTATATTCCACTAGTGGTAATAATCCCAAATATTCGATTATATATTGTGTTTTTATTTTGACGGAAAGGTAACATCCGGTGCTCGCTCGGACGCCTTTCGCTGCGTGAAAACGTGCAATGCTACGTCGTAGCCATAGCAACAGCTAAAGCATGGCTTACTCCAGAAAAAAGTACTGTCAAAGATAGTTCGAACGTATTTTGTTATTATTTCGCCTTCATTTCGCAACAGAGTGTTGACAATGGGTAGGTAAAAGTTTGTTCTACTCATTAGAGGTCAATAAGCCGCAGTGGTACTTAAATGATAGGTTGGGTGAGAGAGCCCACTGATTTGTATACAGAGCCGCTTACGTTATCTGAGACAGTTTTGGAGTCAGATGGTTTTCGGTTCATAAAACGTTTTGCCTTTTTTTCTATACAAAGCCCGTTCCTTATTCAATAAACAATGACCTTAAGTAATCTAGAATGTATAATAGGTAAATGTTTACTATGCGTACATCCAGACAAAACTGAATTTATGACACACATTGCAAGTAAGCTAATATAGGAATTCACAGTGTAACCGCGTCCTTATTAATGCGTTTGTCTGTAGGGTTTGTGAGTGAACTATTTTCTGCCTACTACTGTTTTGGCAGGAAGAAGGCCAAAATGTCATGCAGCTGAGCTCCTTAATCAAACAATTATCTTTACAGATCACTAAAGTTAAATTAGTTCAACTTCTGTCTGCATGAGATGTGTTAGGGACATTTCTTCATCTTGGCTCTTTCCTTCAGATGACTTTTACCCTCTGTGCTTATCTTTGTACACTTGCCAAACTTTGGGCCCTCATGAGTTTATCTGTGTATGTTGTCCATGTATGTCCATGCAGAATAGATTATGAACAGCTTGCCTCTCACATTAGACTAATTAATAGTTCAGTCAGGGTTAAAATGGACCACATGTCACAGGGGAATAGTTGTCATGTGAAATAGCCCCTTTACATTTGTGTCTGTCTAAAAGGATAGGCCTGCTTAATACTGTCACAGGGTGCTACTAATTTATCTGTGTTGTGTGAGTCAGGGATTGATGAACTCTACTGTGTTTTAAATGCAGAACCTAGAGTCAGTAGGGGGCTGGCAGGTTAATAGTGTGCGTGAGCACGAAGCCTGCTCTTTGATTGGGCAGGGTTTTTGTTTGCGAGTATGAAAGAGACAGAGGGACTACATGTGCTTGTTTACTTGCTAGTGATTAAATGTTTTTGTCTGTGTTTTGTGTTAAGCTGTCTGTTTTTAGAGTGTATATAGTTGGATTTGCATTTGTCTACATTGTGGTCAAACCATTGTGTGTTTGTTCTGTACATTTGCTTGTGTGTCCTCTCACTTAGTTTCACTCCAGTGGTATGCTAGAGCATTTAATGTCTGCCGTGCAGCCGTGCACAAGGGATCATCTGATAACAGTGACCTGTGATCCTAACTTACCCAGAGGTATTTTATCTGAGGTCAAGTGTTGAGATGGTGTGATGCTTTCCCCTCACTAATGATGAGGTAATAGATAAATGTCCTGAAAGCATGCACACACACATACACAAGCAGAGGCTGGGGTAGGGCTTGCATTACTGTTCTCCTCACACAACCTCCTGCACCCACACCCACATTATTGACTGTACCTTACAGGCCACTATTACACTGTAGAACATTTTAAACAATTAAACTGTGATCTTTATCATTAATTAACAGCAACATAAGCAAAAGGAGTTATTAGAACTTTATTTTGAGGGAAGTTCTCAGTCCTTATTAAACCTTGTGTTGTTGTGTAGTAGAGGAGAGGATAATGTAGCTATACCCTCCTCTGAGAAGTGTTATAATCTACAGTGTATAAGCTTGACGGACTAATCTATTGAATAAAGTGTATGGAAAATGGATGTGGACATAAAATGCTGTATATTACACTAAACGATTTAACTTTACATTAACCTCAGAGCCTAAGTGCTTTTCATTGGTTTGAAAGTGCTGCCCACTTTTATCCTGAAAACAGTAGTTTCCTGGCCACTGTTGGGTATATTACAATGTCTTAACCCTTTATCGGGCAAATAACCACTTTTGGTAACTTCTGTAGGCATCCTAAATGGCTATGAATATTTGTGGCAAATAAGAAATTGTGCATTTCTGCACATTTTTATGTTTAATAAA